ATAATATGTACTCAAAATGCGTATTTGTAAAATGAATAAGCAAAAGAATGACTCTCACTGTTTTCATTGTAAGATAAGAAACTCAGATTCAAAGAGAATGTTTTGATCAATACAATTCAGCTAGTAAAAAAAAAAAAAAACAAACTAGGAAATGAATCCAAGCTTCTGTGTACTTTCCATTAACTTATTCCTCTGAAATTAGAACTAAGCCCCTTTTTTGTGTGTGCTACTGAATGAACTCTTAAGGACGGGGCCGGGGATATAGCTCAGTGGCACAAGCGCCTGCCTGCCAAGCACAAAGTCCTGAGTTCGATCCCTGGTACCGCAAAAAAAAAAAAACAAAAGACAAACAAACAAACAAACAAAAACTCTTAAGGACTATAGTTCACCTGGAATCCCAGCACTCCAAGAGGCTGAGGCAGAAGGACCATAAGTGCAAGTCCTGCCTGGGCAACTCAGTGAGACCCCAGCTCAGAATAAAATAAAAAATAAAATAAAGGATTAGGAATGTAACTCTGTGGTGGAGCAGCCCGGGTTTGATCCCTAATACTGCAATACATAAATAAATAATAACTGACTAGAATTCCTCCCTTCACACTTTACTATTCTGAGTTTAACAGCAGAGTTTTCCACCCTAGCTTTCAACAAAGTTTTTAGGAATACAACTGCCATGTAGTACAATGAGATTTAAAAATAGAAAAGAAACTATCCAATATAGGAAAGAAAGACTCCTAAAAATCCCTAATCCTCAAATTTAGATTATTTTTACTTTGTGCTGAAGAAAAACCCACCGGTGATTAGGATTTCTCCCTAAATGCCACATATCAAAAACTATGGAAAAAAGCAAACCCTGAGTCTAGAGAAGTTGAAATGGTATTGGAAACTGCATACATTGCTGGTGTGTGAGTTGGTGTGATCCATTTGAAAAAATAGCAACATAAAATGAATCATAAAAATGTTCTCACCCTATAATTCCACAATCTCACTCCTGGGAATTTATCCTAGACAAGTTATTCAACAAAGGAAGAAAAAAACTATCAGCACAAATGTTCCTTGTATCCTTGTCTCTAACAGCTGAGAATACAATAAAAAACAAAAAAATTTAAGTTCACAAGAACATAGCTTAATAAATTACAGTACATGCTGAAGATAAATTACTCTTCAGCTGTTAAAAATAATCCTAAACTCTAGGTAGTGATACAGAAAAAATGTCATGAAATGAAATCAACAGCAGACTACAAAATGATGAATATACTCTAATCAACTTTCCATACAGCTATATCTCCATGTAAACTTGTAAACAAGAGCTAAAAAGTGATATCCAGAAATGAAAGCACTACTGTAGGAAAGCATGGTGTTTTCCTTGTTGTTGTTTTTTTGTTTGTTTGTTTGTTTGTTTATTTTTTTGAGATAGGTTCTTGCTATGTAGTTCAGGTTGGTCTTGAACTCACTATGTAGCCCAGGTTGGTCTCAAACTTGTGGCAATCCTCCCGCCTCAGCCTCCCAACTGCTGGGATTACAGGTGTGCACCATCAAGCCAGCCTGGTATGGTTTGAAGTGTGTATATTTATGTTTTTTCACAATTTTTAATGTACTGGTTTTTTTCTATTGCATATAATTTTTAAAATTATTTCTAAAATAAATTTGGATTTCTGAGTTTTTCCCTAATTCTCACTTAGGAAAAAAAACCCAGAAACTCTGGTTCTTCCAATCTTGCATTAACAGTTTCTACTTAAAAAATACTTCTTAATGTCCAAATCTAAAGCTGGAGAGAAAGAAAACAGGCAGTAACCACATTATTGTTGCTGCTTGAAAGGCTGGTGATGAAACCCAGAGAGGACAGAAAGGGAGACCGCCAGGATCTCAGGGAGGCAGTGTGTTGCAGAGCTTAGCTGGAGAGGGGTCCAAGGCAGAAAAAGTTCAGCATCCCATTTACCTGCCTCATCAGGCTGCTGCCTGCCATCATTTCCCTTTGGCTCATCTCACAGGGAATGTGAGACCCTGACTCTGAGGGATCTCAGATGTCTGAGATGTCACAAGGCCACACTACTTCAGAAGAGATGTCACAGAGCACACTTCTTGAGGGTCATGTCCAAGGTCATGCCCCATGTGCCTAATAGGAAGGGAAAGGTTACCTGATGCTTAATATCTATCTCACTGCTGTCCAACTTTGCAGATAGAAAGCTCAGTTCTGTGTGGTCTCTCAAAGCAGGCTGACCTAGAGACACTGATCTATATTGAATACACATCACAGGAGGCACATGTTTATGGCACATAACTGTCTCACGAAGTAGAGGGAGCTGGCTAGAAAACCACAGCCAGACAAACTGTCCAGGGCGCTCCTTCCCTGGAAATTAACCCATCAATGAGGAAAATATGAGGCAAACACAGAACCTAACACAGAGTGTGGTCCCACTCAGGGTGGCCTTCTGTTCAACCAGGTGGCCTGAAGAACAAGATGTCACTCCTTTATAATCAGAGAAAACTGTTCAGAAGCAGTGTCCTAGCACCCAGAACCCTACATCCACCCCTTCCACAGTCTTGATCCCTGCTCCAGGCACCCCCTTACAACACATCCCCAAGGCACTGCCTAGCTTACCTCCATTGATAGATCACTTTCCCCAGGGTAGTTTTGAGTAACTTAGCTTGTTCCTTGCACACTTATAGGTCAGTTTTGATGTCAAATAGGAGGTGATCTCTTCTTAGATGCTCCCCCTCCCGCCTCTCTTTCTGCTGGTCTCAGGCAGTATAGCATTAAGGCTGAGGGAGTAATGAAGACCACAATGCTGTGAGGTCAGACAGGGAGTGGCCACTGAGGTCAAAGCAGGGGAACTGGAGAGGACTAACATTAGGCCAGGCTCTGTACCTTACCGCTATACAGCCTCTGGTAAGTCATCCAGTTCTTCCGTGCCTATCTTTTCATGCACAAAATGAAGCTACTAATACTGAACTCTTAGGAAGATGCATTTGTACATTGCAAGGTTCTCTGAAAATGTTGGGACTACAATTGGCTGAGTGTTCTGAGAAGCAGACTATAAAATGGCCTTACAAACTGAGGAAGATTCAGGTTATGTGTTTAGGAAAAGGACAGGCATGCCAGGCATGAGAAATGGAACGAGTAAAGGCAAAATGGAGAAGAGAGGTACTGTACCAAGCATGGCTGCATTAGAAAGTCTGTGTAGTGAAGAAGCTGAGCTAAGGTCAGGAGAAAAGCTGAGGTAAGGTAGGCAGGCTATATTCTGGAGGGAACTGAGAGCTGTTGAACTTTTTGATTACATAAAAGAATGAAAATCATGTTTGGGACGTACTAACTTGGTGGAGGCATGAAGGATTAAAATGCAGAGGAGGGTTAAAATGTAGGCAATGTGATCACAAGAGGGTCTGAAAACTCCAGAAAAAAGACAGGATGAGGGTCTGAATAAAGACAGTGGTAGTAGGGCTTTAAAAAAGGAACTGAATTTGAGAGCTACAGTAACAAAAGGGTGAGGATAGTGTTATAGAGGTAGAGCAGGTTGGGGTCAATTTCAGGTCTCTCTGACATCATGGTCTGGACGGACAACAGTGCCACTCATCAAGATATAAAGAAGATACCAGTGAGCAGAGAAAATTGACCTCTTTGAATAAATTTTTCTGTAGAACCCAAGGGATTCCAATCAGCAATTAAGTGAATGTATGGATGTGGTGCTCAGAAATAGTGATATGAATTGAAGTCACCCAAAAAGACAAGGATAGAAAGTTAAGTAAGGTCAACATTGAAACTGTGGACAAAGTTAGAATAACCTGGAAAGACTGACAATCATCCAAAGAAGTAGGAGGAATGCAAGAATTCCTTTAGAAAAATAAGTCAAAGAAGTACAACAGAAAGAACAAGGAGGTATGAAGAATGGTAAAGTATGGGAAATCACCGCTTGGCAATTGGCTCACTGATGACCTTGGTAAGAATAAGCCCTGATGCAGTGGGACCTAATGACAGATTGCAGTGGATTTAACAGTGAACAGTGGATTGCAGTGGATTTAACAGTGAACAGTGGATTGCAGTGGATTTAACAGTGAACAG